GCGCAGGCCGGGTGGGTCCGCGCCCCCGCCTTGCAGCTCCGCGCCGCGCCCTGGGCGACCCCGGCCCGCGCCGCTCCCCCGGGCTCCGGCCGGGGCTTCCCGGACGCGCCCTGCGCGAGCAGACGGCCCCCTGGATCCCCGGCCTGCTGGGGTGCCAGGCCTGGGTGGGGGGCGGCTCTGGCAGCCGAACCCCGGCTCCCGCCCGGCTTGGAACAGAGCGCGGATCCCGGGGCGCGGGGCGCCCGGGTGGTGCGGGCGGCCGGGGTTGGCAGGCAGCGGCTTTCCGCCCGGCCTGCCGGGGCTGGGGCCTCCGGAGCTGCGGACAAAGGCGAGGCGGGCGGGTCTGCGGCCGGTAGTCCCCAGAAGAAGGAACTGTTTCCTGCCGGGACTTGGGGCGGGGGCGGGTGCTAGCGGGAGCCGCGTTGAGGATGCCGGCGGGAGGCAGCTGGGAGAGTGACTCCTGTCTTCCCTTTGTGTCTCTTAGACCCAGCGGGGCAGGCCTGTTCAGCCCCGAGTGGTGTGTCTGGGGAGGACCCGGGGACCTGTCCAGGCCTGGCACCTGAGGGGGGCAGGGAGGGACTCCTGCCCTGTCCGGGAGTTTTTCTGTCCACCTTTCCACCGCCCTGTGTGGGGGAGAGGGAAAGAAAGGAGTTAAATCCTCAACCCACATGGCTCCTTTATTTACCATGAGGAGGAGGGAGGCCATTATCTGAGCTTGGGGTCATCAGGGGACACCCTATGGTGTCACTAGTGAAGATTCTGTAAGCCCTGTAGGTTTGCCGAAGCTACTGAAATGACATAGTAAAAAAGAAACCTGTCAGCGTTCAGCTGCACCCTCCTCTGCCCTTCAGTAATCAGGGAGCTCTGAGTCTTCTGGAAGGCCCCTTGCCTCAGCTGTGTGAATGGCTAAGGGCTGGGACCCCACCCCTCCAAAGCGCCCACTCCCCAGTCTGTTAGTACCATGTGCTCTCTGGACTCTGAGCTGCTGGGTGCTGGGCTTCCCTCAGGGGGCCCTCCCTGCCCAGATGTGGCATGGGCTCTGCCTAGCAGAGCCTGGGTGTTTTCAGAGGGGGCATCTATCTGCCCCTGCTTCCTCACCAGTTGGGGACTGACCTGGGCAGAGGTGCTCTCTGCCTCCCTTGGCATCCTTGATGTTGGGGGAAGGGGGCATCCTGAACCCTGGGAAGCTGAGTTTGCCCATATTCCCCTCTTGGTCCTATAACCCCCTTGCAGGAAAGCAGTAGGTGAAAGCAAAGGACAAAGGCCATGCAGGTGGATACTTGAGGGGGTAGGTGGCAGATTTCTTTGCCTCTCTTCTCAAGGTCAGCATGGCACAGGGAGTGGACCGTGAATCCTGCTAACTGTGCATCCCTATAAAATGTGGTAATCAGAACTGCTTCTTCCTGCCCTGACTGCTGGTAGACCCCGTGGCTGGCAAGGCTCCTCAGAGTGAGGAAGCCCTTCCAAGTGGTAGGGGCCCCCTTGCAGGCAGAGCCCTTATCCAGGCTGAACCAGGGTGGTCCAGGCATGAATTCCCAAGCTGGACAGGGGAGACAGAAATACACCCCATCCTACAGGAGTTAGAATTCCCAGGCCTGGGGAGCAGCCAGAGTGCAGCCAACCTTGCACCCCACTCTCTTTGGCTGTGGGAGTGGGGGGTGGGTCCCGAGACCCTCTGTGGTCCTCCCCTCTTCCCATCTGGCAGGACCGGGTGGGAGTGGAAGTCTCTGTGGCAGCAGCACTCTGGGCCTTGCCCTGTGAGATGAAGAGAACCAGCCGGGGGTTTGGCCATGTTGTCCTGTGCCCATCAAGGGCTGCTGTTGGCTCAGTGCAGGTGTCTGGGTCCCCAAGAGCCACTGCCCCCTACTGACTCCTCCCTGTATTTCCCACAGTGAACATCGTCCTCACTGGGCGGCTCAGCAGCGCAGTCCCTGCCTTAGGTGAGTAAGATGCTTCTCTCTTTCTTCCCTTCCTCCCTGTCCTTCTGGTTTAGTGACCTCTGAGGACAGGCCTTCAGGGCCTGTCCACCCCTGAGGTCAGCTGGCCTCTTTCAGCTTCAGTCCTTGGGCATTTTTTCTGCATCACAAAGGAGCCGTTTGGCCCTGGGCAAGCTTACACCTCCTTGAGTCTCAGTTTCTCTTTTTAAAATGGATGCGATAACAGGATCTACCTCAGAGCCTGCTTATTAGGGTCAATGGGCAAATGAGGCAAGGTGCTCAGCATGGCAATGACACATGGTGGCTTAATGCCACTAGCAAACTGTCACAGGTCCAGTAGAATCGACAGATTGTGCTTCCTGTAGACCGTGGGGTTCCCTGAGGCCACAAGGCACCATGAGATGCTTGCCTGTTTTAAAATTATACCTGGGATTGAATTTATAAAGGTATGAATGGGTGATGGCACAGAGAGGCCAATGCCATTGACAAATTTGTTACCTATGTGTCTTGAGAGGGGGGAAGTCAAGGCAGGGAAGGGGAAACAGCTCAGAATGGGCTAGTTTGAATGACTCTGGCAGGCTTGAGGCTACAGGGGTGGGGTCCAGTTGCCGGGTGCCTGGTGCCAGGATCACCCAGAGCAGGGAAAATACTGACTTGGTTGTGAGTTAGAAAAGTAGGTGGCTCAGCCTGGGTTCAGCTGGTCTGTCTGGGCAAGACCAGCTTCAGGCCAGCTGGTGTGCAGGAGAGAGATGAACACTTTGGCTGATGTTTTGGCCCTGGGATCGGTGGTTGCCAAGTAGACCTACCGAACCTAAGACACACGGTCAGAACTGCTCCTCCCTGCCTCCTCCTGTCCGAGTGGGTCCAGCCATCCACAGGCCATCTTTGTGCTCTGGCCCAATGCCAGGGCCAGCAAAGACTGTCAGGAGCAGGAGGGGAGACTGAGGCCATCAGAGTGTTTGCTCTTTGCTGAGGGGGCTGCTGCGGGGAAGCCCAGGCCCTCAGGGCCCTGGGGCCACCAGGGGGCATCTGAGGAGGGCCTTAGGGAGCAGGGGAGAATGTATGGTCTCCAACGTGGGGGGTCGGTGACTCATTTGCTGTCTGCAGGGCTGCATAGTGGTTTGGAGGCACCTGGGACTTCTCGTTCTGCTCAGTGCCTCGTAGCAGAAAGCCACTGAGGCTGGCTCAGGGAGAGGGATCTCTGCTGGCCAGGGTCACTGGGATGGGGAGGCCCAGGGCCCACAGAGGCTGCTTTCAGAGGCCCATCTCTCAGATGTGGCTCCTCAGGCTCCCTCCTGGTTCCCCCTGCACATCATCTCCTGCTCCCTGCTGTCTGGCCTCCTCTGCTGACACAGCTGGCCCAGGGCCCTGCCTTACTCAGCACCGAGCCAGCCCCAGTGCTGCCTGGTGTCCTGGCCCTCACCGCTAACTGCCCAGTCTCCCCATCCCAATTTTCCAGAGGAGGCTGACTGGCCCTGCTGGGGTCAGGGGTCTGTGACCACGGTAGAGAGTGGGAGGGAGGGGGGGAGGGGGGCCGGGTCTTACAGATTGTGAGCCCCAGGTGAGGCCTTCTGCTACTATGGTGGGTGGGCATGTGACCTCAAACACATCTGCCACATGCCCGTGCCCCAGGTTTAGAACAGTGTTGCTATAGGGACAAGGTTCCCTCGTAGTGCCAGGGAGACAAAGACAGCCATCCAGGTCTGCACATTTGGTTGTTTTTAGCCAGGGTCCACATTGTTCTCAGCAGGCCCTCATTCCCCAGTTTCAGGGGCTGCGGTTCGCATCAGGGCGCCTATGCGTGGCGCCCTGGGAGCCTGACTGCGTGGTGGCCTAGGTGGCCACAGGTGGCAGTCTGGGGCCCTAGCTCTCCTGGAGTCTAGCTCTGTCCCACTAGCATTGCTAAGAGCATTGGAGAGCAGCTTCTGGCTGCCTGAGGGCCCAGCTGGACTGCCTGGAAACCTCACGGGTGTTGGCCTCTCAGACCCCGTCCTGCCGCAGGTCGTCACCTCCCGCACCCCGGACTCTGGGCTAGGCCGTGTGGCTGCCGTGGCGCCAGCTTCCTGACCTGGACAGCGTGTCCGGGCTGCCTTCCACTCCCCTGGCAGCTTCCCCGAGCACCGGGGTGGGGCCCCCAGCTCTCTGCTGTGCAGTTAGAGCAGGCAAGTTGTCTGGAGTATTGATTGCCTCTGGAAACCAGATCCGCAAATTGTGCTCTATCGGGCCTTGCTCATGCTTCCTCAAGAGCATTTCACGACTCTTTGGACCGGGAAAGAAGGACGCTCGCTGGTCTGGAAGTGCTCATTCATCCCTTGCCCCCCTGAGCAGGGCCACCGGTCCTGAGGGCCGAGCGGTCTTCTGCTGGAGTGAACACGGGTCACCTCCATTTAAAGCTCAGACAGGCTTCTCTGCCCCGACACCGCACACCCTCTATCCTGCAAACGTACGGTCCTCCTAGCACCTGTCACTACCTACCCATCATCACACACTCTGTGGGATCCTCACCCACGCAGGGCGTACCCCCACTCACCCCATCACATGAATATCTGCCTAGAGGCTGCCACTTTCCTAGAATTTCCCGACTACCTCTGAGACAAGCAGCACCCATGGGCTCCATTTTACTGATGGACAAGGTGAGGCCTAGGGTGGAATGGAGTGCCTGGCAATGTGGGCCCTGGAACTGGATTTGTGAGGCCTTTCCCCCACCTGTGCCCAGGTCCCAGGGTGGCTTGTTGGGGTGGGAGTGAGGCTGCCGTCATGCAGAGGCCTGGAGTTGGTTGTCTGAGCTGGTGGCAGCCTCCAGGCTCATGGCCAAGCAGCGTCCAGTCAGGAGGCCCTGACCAGAGCTCGCAGCTCCCTCTCTCTTGCTCCACGGTCACTGTGAGTGGGCCAGGCTGATGGCTGCAGAGGACATGAGCTCTGTGCCCCCACTTTGGAGAAGAGCAAACTGAGTGCTTTCGCTGCCGCCTAGGTGGGAATTTCTGGGCAGCCTTGGGGAGTGCTCAGGGGTAAGGCTGTGTGGGGGACATGCTGTCAGGGGCTTTGTTGAGAGGTAGGGCTGGGCTGGCTGCTGTCTAGTCATCTGCTCCTGACTTGCCTGGTGGTTCCAGAGACAGGCTGCCTGCCTCTGGAAAGGAGGATAGACGTAGGTCTAGAGGAAGATTCTGGCTGAGGCAGGTGATGCCTGTAGAAGATGCACGGGCCTGGCTTTCTGCAACCACTGTGGGTGAGGACCCTGGCCTGAATGTTTTGTCACTGAGGAAGGCCTCCTGGCCAGGGTAGGTACAGACTAGGCCCTGCTTTGCTCCAGGCCCTGTCCCAGGGGCTGAGGGTCAAGGCAACAAAGGGTGGTTCCCACCCTGGCTGACGGAGTCTCCTGACTTCTCGTTAATCATGGCTTTAGAGATTTGAGTCAGCCATACTAGGCTCTCCCTGCCTGTGAATCTCTTGTCCAGCACCATCCAGGAGGAGAAGCTTCTTCTGGTTTCATAGCCTCACACCTCCCAGGCCCCCTGGTCAGCACCCAGGGTCTCGGGGGGGGGGGCTCATCTGTCAGAGGGAAGGGGCCCTTGTCCTTCCCCTCCTGGGTGCTCTACCTATTAATCTACCTATTAAGCAGGTGCAATAATGCTCCTGCTTAATAGGTAAGAAATCTGAGGGTCAGGAAGGCTGGCCTTCCGGGCCACAGGTGAGTGCCAAGCAGAGAGGCCTGGCTGGTGCCTTGGTGACCAGGGACTATTGGGGCTCTGACGGCAGCCCAAGGGTGCCCAGCCGTGTTTTAGGGTTAAGTGTGGTGTTTCTCTTCTAGTCCTTTGAGGCTTTTGTGAGCTGTCTGTGGGGGTTTCCACTTCCCTGTTAGAGTATCAGATGACCTGGACCTCCAGGTCACAGTCCTATGAGCACGGGAGGCGGCTGGAGACTTCCACTCTCCTTTCTGCAGCCGTGCAGTTTGGGGTCCCAAAGAGTCTTGTTAAGAGCCAGCAGAGAGACCCTGGTTTCTAGGGCGACAGTGGAAGGTGCCAGGCAGTGGGAGAGTGAGGAGGTGGTGTTACTGACCTCAGTTTCTCCATCTGTATAATGGGCCCTGCCTTTGCCACAGGCTTTTGTGAGGATCAGATGAGGTGGTGTGGTGGAGGGCTGCAGGGGCTGGGAGGGGTGGGTGTGGCCAAGTGCAGGGACCTTGCCTGACACCGGGGTCAGCTCTGCAGTCTTCAGGCTAGGCGGGCTCAGCTGGAAGCAGAGGCATGGATAATGAAGAGGGTGAAGTGAGGCTGGCAGGGCTGGGCGTGGTGACACTGCTTCACCATACTGGCTGGAATGATAACCCGCACTTGTCCCTGGTGCGTGGGTTCGCGGATGGCAGTGAGAGGCCGATCCTACCAGAGGACCAGGGTCGAGTCTGACTCTGCCACCTACTGCTGTGTGGCCACGGGAAGGTCACTTATCCTCTCTGAGCCTGTCTCCTTGTCTGGTTATAACATCTACCTCCAGTGGCTTCCCACTTACGCTTAGGATGAAACCCCAGTGCCACACAAGGTGTGAGCGGACTCAGCCTGTGTTTCCAGCCACATCTGGACACTGGCCTCCCTGCAGGCCTGTGTTATGATCTTTACTCCACCCAGAGATCAGCATGTCTGCTCTCCCGGCAGCCTCCATGGGGCAGGGCTTTTGACTGTCTTACTCAGCACACCTAGTACTTGTGCCGGGCACTTAGTAGCTACTCAGTAAATATGTGCTGGGTGAGCAAAGCCCCTCCCTTCCCAGGGCTGAGGCCTGTATTTATACCTACACCAGGGAGGGCAGGCAGGGAACCACAGCAGGACTGTCCACGCAGGCTGCACCCTGGAGGTGCCAAGGGGACTGCCGGTGGGTTCATTCGCAGCCCTGCCGGGAGTGGGGAGTGAGACCTACACTCTGGTGCACGGGGCAGGGTTGGGAGCTGAGGCTGCCCTGAGTCCTTGTGCGTCCTTGGCCCTCCACACGGAATTCCAATGAAGTCTTGAGGTTGGCCTTGCCCTGGCCATGGCTACCCTCATCTGACTTGATCCCACCCTGGGGCAGGCCTGTGCTCAAGCCATGGGGGGGATCAAGTGGGCCTCCCACCTCACCTCCCACCCAAACGGGAGGCCAGCACTTCTCAGCCTCTTCTCCCAACAGCTGCCTGCAGCGGAAAGCTGGAACAGCACACGGAACGGCGCGGTGTCATCTACAGCCCAGCCTGGCCCCTCAACTACCCACCGGGCACCAACTGCAGCTGGTACATCCAGGGTGACCGCGGGGATATGATCACCATCAGGTAAGGGGACCTAGGGCATCAGAGGGAGACTCCGTGGGCCTTACACAGGCTGAGTGAGTGTGTATGTGAAAGAGCGTGTGGGTGTGTGACGGTACATGCACGTGAGTGCATGTATGAACAGGTGTAGAGGGCATGTATGAGAGCATGTGTGAGTGCGTGCATGTGAGTGAGCACATGTATGAACAGGTGCAGAGGGCAGCTGTGAGCATATATGTGTGTAAGTTCATGTGTGTGGGCACGTGTGAGCATGTGAGCGTGCCCCGGGCTCTGTGGGTCCCTGCAGCTGGCTGCCTCTCCTGCTGGACTTCTGCGAGAGCCTCTCTCATGAGGAGTGGGGGCTGTCAATCACAGCCCGGCCAGGGAGAGAAGCCCTGGGGACTGGTTGGTGTGGTCCAGCTGTCCCTGAGGTGGCAGAAGTGTCCTGCAGGTGGCTTGAGGCCAGGCTGGCATGGAGCCTAGAGCAGGGTTTTTCCCCCGGGGTCTGGGGGCAGTCTCGGCAGGAGAGGGAGCCAGGCAGGAGCCCGGTGCTGTAGCTGCAGGGATGTGCAGAGGGTGCTGGGATGAGGTGGCTAGACAGTGGAACCGAGGCTGAAACCCCTGGCCTGGGGTGGCCATGGGGTGTCTGGCTGGGGTGTCACTCTCCTACATGCCAAAGCCCAGCAGGCCCAGGTACTCCCTAGCTCCAAAGCACAGGGATGTGATGCGCACGATGGGGGTCTCTCCTGGTGGTCCTGCCAGTTTCCCTGTGGCCGCAGGGCCGTGGCTCTCAGGCACTCTTTCTTCAAAGACTCCACCCTTATTGGCCACTTCTAGGGTACTCCCTGGCCCTGTGGCCTGCTTGTCCTATAGCCTGGGTGGGAGGCCAGCTGCAGCGTTTCTCCCCAGGAGACAAGCTGTCACCCAGATGTAGGCTAGGCCAGCCCTGTGTGCGTGTGCCCCCTCACTGGATAAGCCTGTGAGTTTGTGCTAGGTCTGTCCCAGCAGACCCAGTGTGGGAGGGATCTGGACTCTTGGGTCTTGCCCTTGAAGAGACAGTGTCAGGGGAAGGAACTGACTCCCCCTCCACTTTGGCTTTGGGGTGGGCACTGTGTGTGCTGATGGAGGGCAGAAAGGTGAGGCCCTCCCAGAGCCTCAATGGGGATGTCCACGGTTGTTCTGATTCTTCATGCAGCTGCCCTCAGGCCCCTGGATGGTGGCTGGGGTCCCACTAAGAGGCCCAGCATGAAGGAGTAGAGGGACCAGTGTGGCTGGCCACCCTTGCCGTAAGCTCACGTCTGTGGGCTCCCTGCCTGCCCGCCCACACCCACGGTCCTCCTTCCTCTCTGCCCCGGCAGCTTCCGCAACTTTGACGTGGAGGAGTCCCACCAGTGCTCCCTGGACTGGCTCATGCTGGGCCCAGCAGCCCCGCCCCGCCAGGAGGCCTTCCGGCTCTGTGGCTCTGCCATCCCGCCTGCCTTCATCTCTGCCCGGGACCACGTCTGGATCTTCTTCCACTCTGACGCCTCCAGCTCCGGCCAAGCCCAGGGCTTCCGTCTCTCGTACATCCGAGGTGATGCTGGCGGCACGGTGGGGCAGGGCACCACAGAGCCCGAGGGCTCCAAGGGCCCAGGCAGTACCCTCTCTTGGCCCACTCCCTGCAGGGTCTTCCCCAGCAGCCCAGTCAGTCGGGGGACTGGGACTGGTCAGCCCCTCGAGCTCCCTGACCCCACTTCATAGACTTGGCTAGAGTGAGTGGCTCACGCCTCACCCTTCGGTCAAGTCAGGGATGAGCCCACTCTGGCATTTGAGGGGTCTCTGCACCTCGGGTGGCCATGGAGAGGCCCTGCCACCCCGGGACAGGGGAACCACCCTACCTGCTCCTGGCGCCCGGTCCCACGCTGGAGGGAGGCTCTGCTCTCCCCTGACTGCCCCCTTCCCCCATGCTCTTCACCCCACAGGGAAGCTGGGCCAGGCGTCCTGCCAGGCAGACGAGTTCCGCTGTGATAACGGCAAGTGCCTGCCCGGGCCGTGGCAATGCAATACTGTGGACGAGTGTGGCGACGGCTCTGACGAGGGCAACTGCTCGGCGCCTGCCTCTGAGCCACCCGGCAGCCTGTGCCCGGGGGGCACCTTCCCCTGCAGCGGGGCGCGCTCCACGCGCTGCCTGCCCGCCGAGAGGCGCTGCGATGGCACCCAGGACTGCGGGGACGGCTCCGACGAGGCCGGCTGCCCCGACCTGGCGTGTGGCCGGCGGCTGGGCAGCTTCTACGGCTCCTTCGCCTCCCCGGACCTGTTTGGCGCAGCCCGTGGGCCCTCGGACCTTCACTGCACGTGGCTGGTGGACACGCAGGACCCGCGGCGCGTGCTGCTGCAGCTGGAGCTGCGGCTGGGCTACGACGACTACGTGCAGGTCTACGAGGGCCTGGGCGAGCGCGGGGACCGCCTGCTGCAGACGCTGTCCTACCGCAGCAACCACCGGCCCGTGAGCCTGGAGGCCGCCCAGGGCCGCCTCACCGTGGCCTACCACGCCCGCGCCCGCAGCGCCGGCCACGGCTTCAACGCCACCTATCAGGTGAAGGGCTACTGCCTCCCGTGGGAGCAGCCATGTGGGAGCAGCAGCGAGGGGGCCGCGGGGGACGCGGGCGAGCAGGGCTGCTTCTCGGAGCCGCAGCGCTGCGACGGCTGGTGGCACTGTGCCAGCGGCCGCGACGAGCAGGGCTGCCCCGCCTGCCCGCCCGACCAGTACCCCTGCGAGGGCGGCAGCGGCCTGTGCTACGCGCCCGCCGACCGCTGCAACAACCAGAAGAGCTGCCCCGACGGCGCCGACGAGAAGAACTGCTTCTCCTGCCAGCCCGGCACCTTCCACTGCGGCACCAACCTGTGCATCTTCGAGACGTGGCGCTGTGACGGCCAGGAGGACTGCCAGGACGGCAGCGACGAGCACGGCTGTCTGGCGGCGGTGCCGCGGAAGGTCATCACCGCCGCCCTCATCGGCAGCCTGGTGTGCGGCCTGCTGCTGGTCATCGCCCTGGGCTGCGCCTTCAAGCTCTACTCGCTGCGCACGCAGGAGTACAGGTGGGCGGGGCCGCGCCGCCGCAGTGGGAAGGGGCGGGGCTCCCTGCGCCGCGCTCCGCCGCGAGGGCTGCGTCCCCAGTCTCAGGCCTCCGGCTGGTGGACTTCTCCTGTGCGTCCTGGGAGGTCAGAGTGGAGGGCTGGGGGCCCGGTGTATGTCGGAGGGAGAGTGTGGTCCTGGCCAGCCCCGCCATGCTGCCCTCCTGCCCGCGATTTTCAGGGCCTTCGAGACCCAGATGACGCGCCTGGAGGCTGAGTTTGTGCGGCGGGAGGCACCCCCGTCCTATGGGCAGCTCATCGCGCAGGGCCTCATTCCGCCCGTGGAGGACTTTCCCGTCTACAGTGCGTCCCAGGTGAGCGCCAGAGGGTGAGATCCCGCCCCGGGCGGGGCTCCTGCTTGGACCTCAGAGAACGCCCAGACCGGGAGACTTAGGGGCCAGGTCGGACAGTGCATGGCCCAGGGGTCGAGGGAGGCGGAAGGTGAGGCCGGGGCAGGGTGATGTGGGGGGCCACCACGGCCACGTTGGGGAGAACGAGTTGGTCTCTTGGGGTCGTGCTGACCTCTGCCCTCTCAGCCACCGCCCCACCCTCCAGGCCTCGGTGCTACAGAACCTTCGCACAGCCATGCGGAGACAGATGCGCAGGCACGCCTCCCGCCGAGGGCCCTCCCGCCGCCGCCTCGGCCGCCTCTGGAACCGGCTCTTTCACCGGCCGCGGGCACCGCGGGGACAGATCCCACTGCTGACCGCTGCGCGCACCTCACAGACGGTGCTGGGGGACGGGCTCCTCCAGCCTGCACCGGGGGCCACCCCAGATCCCCCAGCACCCCTCACGGACACAGGCAGCCCTGTAGGGGCTGGGGATGGGCCCCCCAGTGTCCCAGGCCATGCATCAGAGGCGGGATCTGCTGTGCCTCCCCCCTCCGGCCTGCGGGACCCAGAGTGCAGGCTGGGGGACAAGGACAGAAAGGCCTGCAGGGACTCTTTGGTGGACAGTCTGGCCCCTGCCGAAGCGCCTCGGGAGCCCTGCTCGGCCCAGGACCCTCACCCCCTGGCTCCCACTGCCAGTAGCACCCTGGGCCCCCACCCACCAGAGCCATTGGGTGTCTGCAGGAGTCCCCCACCACCCTGCTCCCCAACGTTGGAGGCCAGTGACGATGAGGCCCTGCTGGTCTGCTGACCTGCTGGACATGCTGGTGACCGCCACAGCCCCGCTTTGTAACCAGGGAATACACAGTCGTTTCTACCCTGCCTCCGCGTCCTTCTTTGTTGCAGAGAAGCCACCCAGAGGCCCAGCTAGCCTGCTGCATCGGCACCCCCAGCCCTGGTGGACACAGCGGGCCAGGGCTGTGGGGGTTTGAGTGAGGAGCGGGGTGGAGTGAGGAGCCCCTCTGCAGGCACCCTGGGGTCTCACTCTACCTCTTTCTCCATTCTGGGAATCCATTTCTGAAGAAGCAGGAGAGTTAGGGCAGGGCTCTCTGGAGTGTTCTCTGTGGCTTCTTGCTTCATTCACCCTCTAGGGTGCCAGAGCTGTGCTGGACTGAGCAGGGTTATGGGTGCCACAGACCTAGTCCATGGCGGGGCCCTCTGTCAGTGCTCAGCCCTCCCCATCCTCCCAGCCATCCCTAGAGGAGCAGGCTAGGAGGCTGCTGGCCCCAGCCTCATGCCTGTGGTGTCAGTACAGGCCCGGCCAGGCAGATGCCCTTTGCCCTCTGGCTGAGGGGTTAATCTCCTGGGCATGAGGGCAGGGCTGGGAATGTGGGCACAGGGTAGAGGAAATCCATGGTCTCTTGCAGGCCTTGAGGCCCCTGGGAGATGCTGCTGGATGCTTTCTCAGGTGACAGTGGCCGAGCACCAACTGACAGTGGCTAAATCCATCCCATCCTGCCGCAGGCTCTCAGTTTCCCCTGTAAATCAGGGTGAGGCCATGGGCTCTGAAGTCCTGGCAGTCACTCCACAGAGATTTATGGGGCTGAGGGAAAGGCAGTTCCAGCAGAAACACCCGGACCGACCTCGGTGGTTGAGCCTAGAGCTGGCGTTGCGGGTCCCGGGGAGGGGCGCACGAGGTGTTTCCCAACCCCGGTGTCCCTTTGGGTCAAGGCTGGCTCTGGACCCCACAAGGGAGAAAGGAAGTGCCTGGTTCAAGTGGCAGAGCCATAGGCCCCCTCCAGAGCCTGCTGGGGCACCTTCCTCAGCCAGCACCACACAAGCCCCACCGGGTCATGCCCACCAGGGACTCGCCTAAGACAAGCACACCGCCCACCAACCCTGTTTTATTCATAGACATTTCCAGGAAAGTGAGCAGGGCAGCACTGACAGGGAGCCCAGCCAATACCTCCAGGGCTCTCTCAGCACAGGACTCAAAGGAGTCAGATCTCTCCCTCTCTCTCTCTCTCTCTCTTTTTTTCAGGACAAAACAAAAAAACAAAAAAAACCCAACTTATTTTGCAAAAACACCTCCTCAATAAACAACATGTAAACAGAAACAGCTGCTTCAGGCTCCGCAAATGTCTCATTGCGTTTTCAAGGGCTTGTCCCTGGTGGGCAGTGGGGAGGGCTGGCACGGGCCATTTTCCTCTTCCTCAGGGGCTCCCTGGGGGTAGACCACAAAGCACAGCTCCTGGCCCCAGCGTGTCATGGATTCTGAGGACAGAGAGACAAACAGATAGACCTTGGGATCCGAGCCTGTGGGGCAGGGGTCCTCAGGGAGCCGCTCCCTTTGGGTGGATCCTGGACCCTGGGGCCACATCTTGGGGAGATGTCGGGTGGCGATTGGACCCCCTGTTGTCACCGCAACTGCTGGGAGGTCCTGCTCCAGGGTGAGTCCCTAACAGGTCACGTTTCCCGGCCCCGCCACCTTGGGGAGGCTGCCTGGCTCACCTGTGAGTCTGTGCACACACTTTGGTTTGCTTCTCCAGAACACTCCCAGGAAGAAAACAGGCACCCCCGTGAGGATGATGATGACGCCGACTCCACACACCATGGGCTCCGAGATGAAGCTGAAGACCAGCAGGAATGCCCAGAAAACCAAGTATGCGATGGGGACCAGGAGGTTCACCTGGGGGAGAGCGACGGGACTGCCAACGGAGGCGCAGGACCTTCCCTGGGCCCTCCTGCCCCACCACCCCGGTAGGGGTGGGGGGAGGGGGATCCCGAGGTGCCGCCCTTTCCTGGGAGCTGAGGCTTGAGGGTCCCCTGCTCTGGCAGCAGCCAAACATGCTAGAAACAAACTCATGGGATGGCCGTTTTGCCAAATGGTTGAGGGTTTGTCAAAGTTTCGGTGGCTCTGAGTTCCATGCAGTAACTATGTGTTGCTGGTGTTGCTGGCTGCTTGCATTTGGCTGAAGGTCTCTCTCTCTCTCTCTCTCTCTCTCTCTCTCTCTCTCTCTCAGTGTTTCATGTTTTTTAGGCACTGAGCACTTCTCCAGCTCCAGGATTTATATGCAAACAGAATATTTGCATTTAGCTTGATTAAGGCTCTTCTGTCTTTGTGTGTGCTCATGGAATTCTGTGTCTTAGCCTCATTTTCCTGTCTGTAAACTGGGAATATTCAAAGCACCCACCTTGTGGGGCTGTGATGAAGGCTGAATACATCAGCATACTTAAAGCCTTGAGCAGGGTGCAGCATGTGGCCAAAGCCGGAATACCTAATGCTGTCATCACTCCCACCCCCACCCTGACCCCCACCCCACACCCCCATGCCCAATGAGTGAAGGGGCAGCTCTGACAGCGCCAGCCAGCCCATCCTCCCCCAGGCCTCACCTTGATGGGCCTGTGGAGCGCTGGCCGCCTCCAGCGCAAAACGAGAAGGCCCAGGATGGTGACACCGTAGCAGAGGTAGTTGATGAAGGACACGTAGTTGATGAGCGTGTACGTGTCTCCCACAAGCATGATGACCGCTGTGGCCCCGCACTGGGAGAGGACCGGGCTGAGGGTGGCCTCCCACCTGCCTCCATCAGCCCTGTGGGCTGTCCTGGGCCTGCCGGCTCAGGCCAGGAGGTTGGTGAGCCCCGGCCCTCCCCACTCCCTCCGTGGGCTGCCCCCCAGGGCCAGTGGGAATCCCTGCCATTACCACACTGCTGGGTGGCCCCGGCTCCCCTCCCCGCCAGCCTTGGTCCCACAACTTACACAGACAAGGAGGGCAGGGATGGGTGTGCAGTGTCTGACATGGATCATGGCCAGCAGGCTGGGCAGGTGCCCCTCTCGGGCCCCAGAGAAGCACAGTCTGGGACAGAGATTGGTGGGGGCCATGAGCCCAGCCTTGGGCCCCCTACCAACCAGATCCTAGACCTCAGCTCCACACCTGAGGTCCCTCTTGAGCTGTCACCTCTGACCCCTGCTCTGGGTCCCAGCAGCCCCACTGGCCAGTTCTTCCCTGTCTAGCCCGCCTCCCTTTTGCTTGCTGTAGCTGAGTTGGGATCACATCTGTTACTGGGGGGTTCACTGTCCCAGCTTCGGGTGGGACCCACCTGGCAGGATTTGACTTCCTCTGGCCCCCAGTACTGATCACACACACCAGGGGAACCTGCCTTGCCTCACCTTGACCCCTCCCCACCCAGTCCAGTCACCTGGAGGAGGTGAACAGGTAGCCATTGATCCCTCCAAAAGTAGAAAGTGCCACGGAGACGGGCATGACCCAAGAAAAGTAGCCCAGCAGCTTCTCCCCGAAGGTCTGAGTGGACACAGAAAAGAGGTGGTGCGTGAGGCATGGCAGGATGGGCAGGAGCCGGGTACCAGTGGGACCCCACTCACCACGGCCACTGCGTTCGAGGCCAGCAGCTCCTGGGGGGACATGGCGGTGAAGTAGGCAACATTGGTGAAGGTGTACACAAAGGTCACCAGCGGGATGGAGATGACAATGGCACGAGGTAGGTTCCTGGGGGCAGTGGAGAAGTGTGTCAGCATCAGCCCTGGGGTGGGGGCTGGAAGATGGGGCCCAGGGACGCCAGCGAGGGAGGAGCTTTGAGTCTCCACCTCCTGGGTCTGCTGGGGGACTTGGGACAGATAAGGGGCAGCACTGCTGTCTCCCTGCCACCCCCCAGCCCCAGCTGCGCCACGGGCTGGTGGGAGGAAGGGCACATGGGGGAGGGGACACATCAAACCTTGAGGGGCAGGTCTAATGTCAGGACATAAAGAGAAAAGTGAATACAGGCAAAATCAGCCTTGAAGATCCCCAAATCCCCCCGGGGCCCAGTCCCTAGACCAGGGGTCTCCTGGGACTCCCTATCAGCCCCAGCCCCCGCCCCAGCGCAAACTCCTCTCTGTTGCAACCCTGGGTGAGTATCGGATGAGCCATGGGCTTTATCAGTAGGGACCGTGTTATGTGCACATGTGTAAGTTTTGGCCAAATGCAAATAGCTGGATCCATTTTCAGTGGGACAGTGATACTCAGTGTTTCTGAGGCCCGGCAAGGGGCCGTGACTCACCCACAGCCATGCAGAGCAGGGCCAGGCTGGAACAGTGTCCCGGCTGTCTTTCCAGAGCCATCCCCGTGGGGCAGCAGCATGGTCAGGCAGGTGACCAGACTGAGCCACAGGTGGCAGCAGGTCCGTGCAGAGAGGCTGCCTCTCCCATCGCTGCACCCCTCCCCTTCCCAGGGCCCGGCTGGGTGTCCTACTCACTTTCGAGGGTCAACCAGCTCCTCAGTGACGTAGTTGAGGAAGTTCCAGCCACTGAAGGCAAAGGAGCCCTGGAGGAAGGCCAGGGCCAGGTGACCCACGGAGGGTGTCATCCAGAAGTCAAAGGCATTGCTGGGTGTCAGCTCCTCAAAGTGTCCTGGGGGGTCCACAGGTCAAGGGTCAGTGTCCTCTCCCCACCCTGGTGCACGGCCCCACCCAGGCCCTACCTTGGAAGATCTGGACGAAGCCCACGCCAATGATGAGGGACAGGGCCAGCAGCTTCCCACCGGTGAAGATGTCCTGGATGCGTGTGGCCCAGCGCACGCTGGAGCTGTTCACCCATGTCAGGAGCACTGAGAGGAAAGGAGAGTGGGTGGGTGGGCCTCAGCCGAGTCCAGCCCAGGCTGTAGGAGGGCGGCATCCCCTGTAGCAGCTGGGGTGCCAGAAGCTCACCCCCTGAGGCTGAGCTCACAGGGGGCTGGAGGCTGGAGGCACCCCCCCCCCCCACGCCCCCGCAGTCCTCCCACACAGGGGCAGGGGGCAT